AAGCTTTGAAAGTACGGAACCAATGAGTCCATCGTTTCATGCCATCTGATGAGTGAGGATCGGCATCAAAAACCGTAGGTCGGAGAATGTGATCCATTTCGTTTTTATTAGACGATTAAATTGTTGCGAGAGTCGAGTAGTTCCAGGACGAGATTAGAAAGGATGCAGAATAGGAAGACGTAATGTACGTTTTAATCGTTTAATAACTGTAGTACATGAGCTGAAAATAGAGTGAGAATCACGAGTTAATGGGTTATGCAAATGGGGGGTGGGTTATATAGTCATGACAGTCATTTTCGCCTTTGAAGATTAAAAGGAGGTGCGGGTGTTTATAGATGAACTTGGCATGTTCCACCCACAAAATGTATGGGGGGTTATATAGTCATGACAGTCATTTTCGCCTTTGAAGATTAAAAGGAGGTGCGGGTGTTTATAGATGAACTTGGCATGTGCTTTCCACCCACAAAGTGTAAGGCCATGCTTATGCACATTGCAATTAAATTTCAATTGGGCATGAGTATATATGCTCCAGCTGCTACGGTTCTGATCAACAGAAAGAGGGAGACTGTGGGACAGACAGCCAAGCACGGGAGGCGATGGTATACCCAGTTAATTGGAGAACTGTGTAGCTACGCACTGAAGGCGATGCACAAGGGCCACTGACTGCGCCATTGGGCCAATTCTACCAGTGTCATTAACCGTTGTTGAGTTGAGTCCCAGGGTTTCCATCTAGAGAGGCGGTACTTGTCGACCCGACTAACTGTACTCATTGGTGTTTTCATATTTCGTTGCCACATACACTCTCCACCTCTGGATAGCTTCCAATCAGCACACGGATGAGCGAAAAGAGCTCCGAGAGGTAGACCGTCTTCTACCATGTGGACTATTCGTCATAAGCAGCCTGAACTACGAAGCGTGAGTAATTCATCCATCGCGGGAGAGTTCCTTCTCCTTAGGACTATCTGGAGTACCTCAACATTTCCAATCCGATGTTCCCACTAGGCCTGACCAATGCATCGGAGAGACCGGTGGTCAAACACTGACATCTTTCCTGTGTCCTCTCCGAGTAGAGGCCATGTCTTTGATCTACAAAGCAGTACGGATTGCACTACCACAGTGTAACTTCTCCCCTTGACAGACAAACCCATGCCACATCGGTCCCACAGGTGTCCGAGTTTGGCAAAAGCTGCTCTAGCCATTCATACTCGAGAAGTGGTCTCATCTCCAGCCAATCCACCGGAACTTATGCAGCTACCCAGGTGAACAAATCCATCTACCACGTCGATTGGCTCGTCTACAAGCATCAGGTTGGGATTTCGTCTAACCCAGTCTTGTAACGGCACTTTACACTGCAGGTGTGAAGCACAGATCAAACCGTTCGGTAGAATTATTTAGGTTGTGTAAAATGGTTCGCATTCTTGAAAGATTTGAACCAAGGAGAGCAATATTGTCCGCATACTCAATGACTGCGAGCGAACGCCCCGAGAGCCTTTCGACCCCCGAGGTTTTAGATACAGGCACAGGCGCTTTAAGCAGCATAAGAATAACAAAGTTGAATAGGAGAGTCGAGATAGGGTAGCCTCGCTTGCACCAATTGGTTGTGGTGGACTCAGGCGACAGCTTGCCGTATACTCGTACCCGTTCACAGGAGTTCATATACAGTGCCCTCATGGGAGAAATTTTGATGGGGCACCCTTGATTGCCCGACACATGCGAAGTTTCCGACTATCTAGAGTCAGGATCAGCTTTCAGACCCGGGGAAATGAACGAATGGACGCTGAACGCTTGAAAGACTGGAGCTTTTTAAGAACTTGTCTCAAGGTGAAGCGTGGTCGATGCACCCCAGCGTTGGTGAAACCCACAAACCTGTCTCCCCTGTCAATCGATCAACCTGCGCAACCGGAGATTACCTTGGATGCACGATTACCAGACTGATGCCGCGGTAGTTTTCGGATAACGTTCTTGTGCCTTTTTTGAAAACTTCAAATGACGGTTGCGGAGCTTTATTCAACCGGTATTCTGCTTTCACTTCAGCGTTCATTTAGTGTTCCCACTGTTCATTCATTTCAGTGTTTATTGTTCATTTAGTCGAATCGGATGGCTTGGACAGACACATATCAAAGCTCAGACCGTAGCATCTTTCCCTTCAACCTCCAAGCAATCTTCGTCATCCTCATGATTGTGAGTTTCCAGCGTTTTTCTAGCCAAATGAGCTTTATACGTTTGAGCTTCTGAAGCTTATCCAAGATATTGAATGGAGTTGCACAGCTGTGGCATGTCTACTGCTGATGTAAATCGAAGTGATAACCGGACCCGCACAATGGCATTCCGTATGCCAGAAGGAACAGCTTTCCATTGCTAACCAATGACCACATAGTCCAGTTGAGGTCAGCACAGATGAAGATCAGCACACAGCTGCGGCAGTTGCTCCCCATTATCCATACGCTTTGCATCGACTCGAAATCTACCACCCAATTGTGCTTCTTCCAACTTGGGCATTCGTATCACCCGCCAGCATTACCACATCATCCTTCCGGATAGAACCAGTTGCGATAGATCTCGATTTAACCCGTCCTTCTCATCCCAAGAACTGCAAGCTGTTTGGGGCGTATGTCGATAACAAATAAACATCGTTCACGGCATCGACCTTCGTTGATCTGAGTTGAGCCGGACAACTGCACAGAGTAAAGACGACTATTTAATGGGATCCGCTTCAGTAAAGTGCTTACAGCCTTCGAGCTGGGTGCAACTTTCACACCACCAACTTTCGCCTCACTGCCTTCACACTCCTATCGCAGTGGACAGTATGACGTTACCCCTGTGCATGTGGTCACTGATCACGTCACTTACAATGCAGACAGGCACTCAAAGTTATGAAGCTTTCTAAATGCCTTTGAAGTTGTATAGGTTCCGGATGTTGTATGACAGAGAAAGTTAATTCAAGAATCTATAAGGCTCGTGTCGCGTTTGTTAATTTTAGACCTCCAGGGCGGCATATCCTTGAATCACAAGAGGTATGTGTCGGACTACAGTACGGATTGTTTTTTGTTTGTTTATGAGATTCCTTCCGGGCTTTGACAACCCTTTTCTCTGCACGCTAGCTCGTGCAGGCTTTCGGTGAATCCCGAACGCAACAACGGACAGACTATTGTTCGATAGGAACTCTAGTCGGATAATATGCCAAGTACCGAGTGCCGCACCGATAAGGTCATGTATGGTGCATGCAGGACCATCATTTCCTTCACCCGCCAAATTCGGAGTGGCGTAAGCAGAGATAGGGTCATCCGGACTCCTCAAAAAGGTATAGAAGTTATCACGATAAGTCTGCTTACCGTCATTTCGATCCACCTTCCTGGATGGAATCCGGGTGATTTCTCCTGTACATGTTTGAAGTTGCTCCAAGATGAGGCTCCTAATTGATGTCAGTGGCTTTGTTGTTGTCAGTTTCTATTCATTGTCGAAATGAGCGTCTGGAATGCTTGTGGTAGATTAGCAAAAAAGTCCCCCTCTCCATCCGCGCTTGTTCTTTTCTCCATAATAAAACTTCGGATAAAATTATGGTTGTGGCAGCGAATTCTCAGTATTGAACAGTGATGTACTTTCAATAGTCATGATGTGCGGTATTCCAAATAACCTTTGACCAAAATTGGTTTCGCCATCCCTTCTGGGACTGTTGGAAAATCATCCTTGTTTTTCGGGACTGACGCTCTTCTGCACCCCCTGTCACTTCAATCTGTATCCTTTGTTATCTAGTAGAGTTCCGTATCTTGCATAATATGTTTTTTCATGTTGGTTCTGTAGTCATTTTCTTGCATTCCTACTGTCCCTGTCGCACCAGCCCCACTTTGGCTTTAACCAGCGACTGTTACTGAGCGTGGACGAATATAAGTTTTTATCGAGTTTATGCAACCAGAAGAAGGATGAAAGTGACGCTATGTAACTCCCCTACATAGCCGAGACCGACACTGCATTTCACTTAACCGTTTGCAGTGGGACGAGATGGCTCAGTGAGTAGAGCGCGAATTTACTGACCGGAAAGTCCGTGGTTTAAACCCGACCTCGGCATCCGGACCCCTGCTGTATAGGCTTGGGCAACCTGACAGTAGCCCAGCCGTCGTGCTTCCTTCAGGTGGGGTGGCAGATAGGTACCGAAAGAATGCTACGAGTGAACGACTATTGTTATTTTCGCAGTCGCAATAACACTAGCCGATCACTGGGAGCATGGATATTTAGCTAATAAGTGTGTGAATCTGAGTGAGATGAGATTTGTTTCCCTTGGCAAAGTTTACAGGTATGTATGCGGAATCAAAGACATTCATTTGTGAAACCAACGACAGCTATATCTAGGGCAGGCTTGACTTTCAAGTGAACACTTTGACTACTATGGTTTCACTCACCAGTAGTGTTGCGCTTCAGTTGATGTTCTTACCTGGTAGGCATAGACTGTGATTGTAACTGGGCTCTCCCAATAAGAACATAATGGAAAAGTACACATTTTCAGGAGAGATGATCGGAATCTTTCTGTTTTGTACTTAAAGTCTATCAACGCTTTTATTCTAAGCTGAAAGGAGGTACTTGTAAAGTACTTCTTTATTTGGTTGACACGGCGAGAGAATGACAAAGGTATCGAAGGCTGCAGTCGCGTTCAGTAGTTCAGTTCACATAAAGCCTGAATCCTGGATAGTTTTTTTGGTGTTTAGAACTGATTGGATCCAACAATGTGCGAGTGGGCGATATTCTTCCCACTAGCTTATACACAGCCATATAGACTTTCTAAAGAGCTCCTTAACTATTGGTCGTTGATCAGGCGGCTGTTGATCTGTGTGTTGGGTGGGCACCCAACTGCGCACCTGATGATGTCTCCTCGTATGGTGACGAAACGTTTGCAAGCCAATTGCCAACAGCCACCTGATCAACAACCAATAAACTCACCCGAGCTACCAATATTTCACCACATTACCAGCCCCTTAACTGTTGCCCATTCACATGTCATTCTGCAGATGTTGAGTCTGATAACTACTCAGAAGATTTGGCTGTCAACAACACTCCGGAAAGATGTCAGGTGGTTGCTGGTCGTCGACGGTTCTTTCGCTACAGGAGATCCGGACGACCCAAACTAGGCTCCAAACACTCGAGTTCACCAAACCTGCCGCAGGATAATGGAAAGCTTCACAAAGTTGAAAAGTTTTCCTCAGCGCCCACTCGCCCCCTAGGAACTCAGTTGCTTGTGACCGCGGATCAGTCTGAAGTGCAGCAGGCAACCGGAAAACCAACTTACTCTAGTCGCAGTACATATTTGAAAACTGAAAACCGTTCTCCACCTTGCCCCACAAGTGCTTTTTCTCACTTACTCAGCCGTGTACGTAAACCAAGCTTGACAACTGAGGCATCCGCGTTACACGAACTTGTGGTATCTGTACGATCGTTTCAGGAGCGTTTGAGAGATCATACAAATTCAGTTTGTGCTCACACTACATTCATCGAATCGTTGATGTCCAAACCCGAATCAAACGATATTTTTGGTCGACCTGCTGCTCCTGCGTCCGATTTGTCTGATCAAACTCCTGCTCAGCAAGAATCCGAACAACTGGTGCACTGTTTTAAGACTGCACTGGAAGAACATCGTCAATACGTTGGACAATTTCAGGAAGTATGTTCCCATTTTCTTTGAGTTATTCGATTACCTGAACGTATGCAGGTATACGGAATTTGTTACTAGCCATATGTGAAGTTTAATTGTCCTGCTTTGCAACCAATTAGTAGCGTTACCTCCATATTGATGCTTTTTTAAAAGTGACGGAGTGTTTTGGCGAAATACGCTTATTTGCAAATTACTCCGGTGTTAGCAAGTGACTCATCTGAATATCTCGTCTATGATATTCAGTCGCTGTCGAATTTTCCAATGGTGCCATGGTCGACGATGTTTCGCCCTGATCTCGGAACAGACCATTCAGTCACTAGCAATTAGGTTGTCCAGACGTTCAGACACTCTAGATAAAAAGTGACAGCAACAATCCATTGATATCGATTAGCAGGTTCCTCTTCAGTTTTTTAGTCTCCCATATCCAGGAAGCTTTACAGTCAGCGTGCACGCTAAGTTTGACTTGACGTCCGATAATTCGTCGGGCTGAATTGTGTTCGGGACCGGGACAGTTCCCAGAGACTCGAGCAGTGCCATTTTTTGTCTGTAACCCAGTGCTGGAGCGAATGTGGCGCCGTGTCCCGCATCTCTCTAATGCTTCCTGCATTCATGTTTCGAATTACTTAGCTGTTTTTGGCTTCTGATGACGATCCTGGAAATTACTGCACGAATTCATTACTATCCCCTCCAAATTTGGACATTTGTATCAAAGTTCATTGGAAAACCATCTGTTGGCGTATCGTTGGATTCAGTCATCAAACTTGGCGTCAAGTCCCAACGCTCATTAGCGTAATCGTGCTACGACAGAATTGCGTTCTTAACGCGGCTTGGTGAAACCTGAAAACACTGATTGGAAGATGACACCATTGTTATTGTTTGTAGGGCACAAATATACTGGAAGTTCAGACTGTGATAGATATATTGTGAGCTGGCTATCATTCTTCATGTCCTGATTTGTTTTGGATGGTCACATGTTTCTAGCAAGCGGATTAATTTTATTGTCATAAACCTGCCAACTACCCGGATTGTAATTCTACTGCTCATGCTCGAATACCATACTGAAGATGTAAGGCGCTTTCCTCTCGGTTACTATGTGATTTTTTTAGCACAGGTGGAATCAGGTCGCAAGAAAAGATGAGTCACAAGATTACTCCATTCGAAATGTATTATTTTGGCGGGAGGTGAGGAGGTGGAGTTTTCTCATAGAGTTACATTACTATTTTCACAGTACAAAATTGAAACAGAATTTTTTCCTGTACAGAGTATTGTCTGGGAGTAGGTTTCCGAGATAGAAGAATTACTATAGTAGGTTTCTTAAGAAAGGGATGAAATTATCTACCATTGGTTGGATGACGTCCCTTCGGGAACTGATTCGAGTTCTCAACTCCGTGCTTTTCCACCGCTTATCCTTACTAACGTTGTTCCCTATATTCTGCTGACATCTTTTTCATTCTCTCCCATTCAGACTTGCTCGGAGGCTTTACAGTTTCTTGTTACCAATTTCGAAAGATGGCATCGTCGTATTTTGGCCGAACAGGAACGCTGTCTCGGTCTTGAGCGTACCATAGAACAGCTGGCGAGACAACATCGCGCATTAGAGCTGCAACTCTCTCAGTACTATGCTCCGCTTGATTCAGCATCTTTTGAAACTGTCCGCGCCCCTCAAGGTGGCACCTTACGTCGGGGTAGGTTCTCAATTTTTTTTTTATTTTAATGCTTATTTAAATCACTCCCCTAAGTGCTTCCACCCATTACCAGTTTCACAGCCTTTAGAGGATAGTGAACTACAGGAACCCTTATAGGAGATACTTCTACTCTAGATGGGCTTTCAGAATCCAGTAATTCAGTCTGAGATGACACTCAGATGTATGCTTCGATAGTTTGGGTACGTAGCATGTACGCCGAATTGTCGTTTACCAGGACCAGTGCTACCCAGAATGACGCAGTCAGCCGAAGAGACATGTAACCTTATAGGAGAAGCTTGAAGGGCATTACCAGAAGGTGAAGTGGTCAACGTTCTCTAATGGGATCCCCATATCCCTCTCTGCGCGTGCCTGGCGACACCGCAACTTATCACTGTTATCCGGTGTCGGTACTGTTCGTGCTGTCAGTTTTCATCCAAATTGTCTGGATGACTTTTTGGATGTGTTAGTACTCCAGAGTGCTGGCACCAGTTATCTTCCCTGTTAACTTTCTCCACTCCACTTTAGGGCTTCTATGGTGAACTTCCCCTAGTTGTAGGACATGATCATATTAGCATCAATTCAGTTGTTGGTGCCACCGATCATAAAGCTTTGCAAAGGCAGGATAGATGAGATAGTCAATCTTTCAATCAATTTATCAGCTACAAACCATGTACCATAGACAAATTTGTTTCAGCTGGTTCAGTCCAAGGGAGTGGCGGTTGTCGGCCCGACTGAGTTTACTGGTTAGTGTTTTCATACTTCGTTGCCTGGTCATACACTGTCCACCTCTTGGTTAAAACAAGATGCGACTGTTACCTGCAGTGAAAGCCTTCTCCATTTCCTGGGCTTTCGAAATCCACCAGTATTCTCTGTCATTCTTCAAGTTCCGATTGTCCGGTGTGTGAGGGATCTGCGTGCGCCATCACAGTCGCTAGTTGCTGGTATGGCCTTTCTGGCAGCAACAAGATTTGTTGATCTCGACAATATTCAGTGTTCATTTAGTCGAGTCACATCGCCTGGACAGGCAATTCTGAAAGCCGAGAGCATAGCTTCTTTAACTCGCCCCTATTCAACCTCTAAGCAGTCTTTGTCATCTGCATGACCGTGCATTTCCAGTAGCTTTCTAGCCAGCTCGATACCCTTGAGTTACTGAAGCTTGTCGAAGTTGATGACATGCGTAATGCTGATGGGAAGCGAAGTGTTAACCGGGCCGGCACGATGGCATGATCAGAGTCAAGTCGCGTACCCCACAAGGAACGACAGTCCGTAACTGAGGCTCTGAATCGGCAACCGATAGCCAAATGGTCCAGTTGAATCCACGACTGTTTTGTGTTGAGTGGCTTCTAACTAACCCATTGGGAGCTTTGTGTTGGAATGCCGTAGTGGTTAGGAACGCGTTGATCTGCACACAACTGAAGACGTCGCTCCTCATTATCCTTGCGCTCAGTATCGACGAAAATCTACNTCCTTGCGCTCAGTATCGACTGAAAATCTACCACTTAACTGTGCTTCTTCCGATCTTATTCGTCCAATTTGGGCATTCATATCGCCCGCCAGGATTGTAATATCCGCCCTTCTTGCTGACCGGAGCGGTTGCGGTAGATCGTAGAAAAACTCGTACTTCTCAGTCTCAGAACTGCAGTTTGTTGGATCGCATGCCACTACAAGCAAACACCGTTTGCCTCATCGATCTGCATTCATCCGAAATGAGCCGGACAATCGCACAGCGCAAAGACGACTGTTTACTTGGATGCAGTCTAGTAAACCATTTTCAGTCTTGGAGCTTAGGGCAACTACCACACCTTGCATACCACGAGCCATTGCGTCTGGATCACCGGATGCTCGACGAGTTTGGAACAGCTGAGCTCGTCCTAAGTGGCTTTAAGTACACAACCGAAGTGGGGTATTGTATGTGTGTTTCGGAATACAACATACATCGACAGGTGGGGAAAGCAAGGTCTAAGCCGAATTAGATATCGAGTACGGACATTAAGGACTGCAATGTAGATCAGATCTTTTGAGGTTAGGTTAGTATTTTGGTTTATCTTTCTGTTGATACGTGGAATAGTGGTCAGGTGATAGGCAGATGGGTTGATCGCACTGCATTGTTCGATTGGTGGAGTGTGGGAGAAGGCTGGTGAGCGAAGAACCGCAAGGGCTAATGATACTTCCTGGTTGGCCAGGTCGAAAAAGGGGTTTTGGTTGAGGTGCTCGACTTTGAACCTTTGACTCAAAGGTATGACCCATAAGTCAGTGAGGGGATGTAGGGTTTTGTTCGGGTGCCCTGCCCCTAGCCTCTAACTTGAAATTCTGAGCCGACTTTTCCTAATCCATCTTTGCTAGGGGGAATGCTGCATCGCTGCTTCCATAAACATAAATATGTGCCGGTTGCCCGGCACATATGCCTTTACACTCCTAGTGCAGAGGACAGTATGACTTCGCCTCCAGATCAGATCGTAATACGGTCACTCGCAGTATAGGGACTCGCTTTTCTCCGTTGGCTGCTCGCCATTGGCTTTCGTGACATGGCTGGGTAATGAGGTCCAGGCAGTTTAGCCCGCATGATCATTGCAGCACAGAAGTTCGATAACCACAACAAGGCGACAACTTTATGTCAGGATATAAGACAAAATAGTCAACGCTGACTACTAATAAACTGCCAGACACTGTCCTTCCTAAATTTCAGGGTTATCTTTTTTCTTTTAGTTCTACTCAGCCTGTTTATGTGCCTCCCTTGTTCGCATAGCACGGAATGCACAGATGACTGTGAATCGGTTGCTGTCTAATGTGCCGTGAACAGGTTTTGTGAAAGGTAACACAGTTCGCATTCTGTTTACGGACTTGACATTTACCAAAGTTTCTCGAACCGGTTGCTCGCAGTTATTATATCGTTTCCCGTCTTTTCTGTGGAGTCCATTCTTGGTAAGCACAACAACTGTTACTAGGGACAACCGTAGATTATAATTTCCCGGTATATCCGATTCCATGCACGGCCGTGACTCTTACTGACCGATAATAGTTGTGATGCTTTCAACCTCCGTTTGATAACCTATATTGCAAATGGACGGACGTTCCTTTCATCACAGTCTCTGCGGCTCCACATTCACAGTTATCCCCCTAATTCGGTGTGCGGGTTGTTCATGTTTGGTTATTTCGCTTTTGTCCAGTTTCAAGCATCTTGCATTCCACTGGTGGAGATTCGTTTACTTTTGTCAGTTGAACCGTGCGTCTGGTGCTACCACCGCACGTGATTTTTTATCTCCATTTTTCCATATGTTTTTTTTATTATTAACCTTGGCGTACAACCAGTGTTAGCACTGTCTGAATTTAGTTGTGCTTACGAGGCGCATAGTTACCTTTGCTTGTTTGTTTAGCGAATTCCTAAGGGGATCTAACTTTTCGTGACGCCAGTCATGTTGCAAAATTCCAGTATACGATCTCATCACAAAGCAAGATAGATGTAGCATTTACGCAAGCTTGGCTTGTGGCATGTTGCACCCGTAACTTCGGAATATAAGTTGAGTATATGTAATGCTGCCTAGGTCACACTATCCAACAGAGTGTAATCTGGATAAGCACACCTATGACTTGTGTCAGCTGATATTTGGCATCATGTCACTCGACGTTGTTCGCCAGCACATACGCCTTGTTGATTGTTTCGATGTATATTCTTTTCTAAAACATGGCCGTCGGATTGTCATGGTTGGTTAAAGGAGGGAGCTGATGTCAGTCATATGACTGGAGTGGATCAACTATTTAGCTATTGGAGAAGCTGAATGGTGATCGATCACAGCGTTGTTTCTTGGTTAGCTCAGCTCGGTACACATGACGCATGTAACCTGTGGCAGATTGTACAAGAACTGTGGTTATTGCGCGGGAAGTCTCAAGGGTGGGAAGAGAGTAAGAAAGTGTCCAGTCGTGACTGAACACTTTACATTATCGAGACTTCCTCATAGGAAAGGATTGGCCGGCCCCACTTATGTCCCGAATTGCCTTTGCTCATGACTAGCGGCAAAATGACTGTCTTACGGTCTGGATAACTCTCGGTCCGGTTTAGAACAACACAGGATGACCGGAGTCAGTCATTTTGATGTCTTAACATCCGGCTCGGGAATATGTATGACGAAGGTGATAAATAAACGTAAGCCAAAAAACCAGTGGTACAACAGCTAAAGCTTTCCGCAAACATGCGATGCAAATCAAAAAAGTAAATTGTCTCAATGTTTTTCATCATCATCATCATCAACGACAGCATGACATCAGTGCTCAACACCAAGCTTCACTGCCGTACAGCCATGACTTATTTGAAAGCCTTATTGTAAAGAAAAGAATAAAGTTGGATGGGGGAGGGACTTAGTGCTAGCTTAACACAATCATTCCGAGGTGCCTACACCTCCAGACATTCACTCAGGCAATCTGGACAGAAACTGACAACAAGAACGCCACTGACAACGGTTGGCAGCCATATCTTGTAGTGTCTCCAACCAGGCACAGTGAAAAAACTTGCAAGTCAGGAAGTATCAGTTGGTAAAATAAAAATTCTTCTAAGTTTGCGGAGAAACATTAATGTGTAAACGATTCACCACCGCTTCACTGCCTCTGGCACAGATTTACTGAACAAACCTCAATGGCCCCCGTAGCCTACCGCTAACGAACCATCAGCCGACGAACGTTCGAGACGAATATGAGTTTCTATGCAGGTCTCGAAATTTTGTAAGGATTCTCTAAGTGTTATACTTATTCCTGAATTTAATCAAAGTTCTTCCAAGTCACATAAAATTGTACTGCGATGTTTGACTGAATGAGTTGATTAGCTCCATAAAATCATTAAAAACAAAAAAGGCTATCAAACCTTGGATACAAGAATTTTGTCTCCTCTATATCCGTTCCGAAACAATATATGCAGTCTTCCTCTATAGTACGTGCGTGTTGTGTAAATACTGTAAGACAGGACCCCTTGCCTAGTTATCAAATGTGCAAAGCTGCGAAGTACATCTTAAAATGGGCCAGTTTAGAGCACCTTTCTATATAAAACAGCTTAATATGCCCGGCGCAACAGGGATGCCTATTAGAACGTTTTTGCGTGGCAAAGATGCTCGTATTCATGAAGATCTTAACCCAAGCCAAAGACGAAGGATCTATGATGGCGCCAAATTTGTTGATTGCCAAAATGCATTTAGTCGCGTCACCCACATTGCACTGCTCAGAAAATAGTCCTAAAGGTTTCAAGTTGAAATGCTATGCCAGAATGAGACCATTCTAACAAGCAAGACATTCTGAGTGAAATTTAGCTTAACCTACTCTTCTTCTGTAACGGTCCCCGTTGAATTTCCTCAAGATTGTCATTGGAGGTTCTCAGTATCCCATCATACGACAACCCTCTTTTGCTGTCCACGTTGAGTAGTCCTCAGATTGGCTTTCACTTTCATGCTTATGTTTCATGGTCAACCAGTAATTTTTAAGTTTCAACACCTTTGTCTTTCTAATGGATTCTGACGCCGAAAAGCACTAGATAGGCACCTTTCTGCGAGTGGCCTCCCGGCGAAGCCTCGGTGGCCGCCTTTGTCGTGCAAAGCGAGACAAGCCATCAGGAGGATAGATACCGAAATGATTTGTGTATCTGGCTCTCTTCAAAAGTCTCCTTTGAACTCGACCATGAATGATTGGCCCGGAAGACGTTTGTCCCTCTCCAGATGATATGCCCTACATCCCTCCGCTATATACTTAACGGGGTACATGTAGGCTACTTCTTAAACACCCCAACAAGGACGCAATAAATACGCAACTTTCATGGAGCATATCCAGCAAGCTGCTACGAACATGGTTACTGGTTTTGAATCCATTGGCTGTGGAACGCGCCTAGAGATGCCTAAACTCTTTCCTCTAGACTGTCGTGGCCTTCAAGGGGACACAATAATTCCTTACACCTTAGTTGAACAAGATTTTCTGGGAGGATTTTTCAATGACCACTCAAACGATACACGCCAAGTTCATGGGAGAGCACTTTCATTGAACAATACTTTTTCTCATTTCCGAAAATTGGTGCGTAGAACAACCTTCTTCGGACAGTCACTCACCCTGCTTATAGAACTTTGGTTGGCTACTTTTAAGAGTCCCATCCTTGGCGAACTTACTGTACAGCACCGAAAAATCTAAGAGTGATGCGATACCCCCTTTGCTGTGGTGTCTTCCAGGCAAACGAAAGCAGCCGACTGACAAGAAAAAATCCGACCATTCAAACCTAAGTAAAAAAATTCAGTGTGAGGTTCTGTGAGTCCACAATTTCTGTGGGTAGTAAACAAAGATCCTCTATAGCAATTTATTATTTTTTAGGGTTATACATAGTACCAGCATTAACGAAGGTTATTACCAAAACCTCATGAAATAATTGTCGTTCTAAACGTATCGACACAATAAACGCTTGACTTACGACTGTATGATTGCATATAACAGATGAATGGCGCTTTAGGTTTCATTGCCTTGTGTCGACATCGTCGGCGTCGATTTTATGTAGAAACCATGTAAGTTGGTGGATATTGCATGACAAAACCCCCACACCTTAGGTAAATAAGGAGTGTGACTGTTGCAGTGCACAAAAACCAGCAAAATGTTGCATTTTCCATCAACATCATACAAATCCTTTATTGAACTCCTAGCAGTTAACAAAAATATAAAGCCAAAAGGCTGTGGTAATGGTGATATAATACAAACAAGTCAACCAAAACAACGGACATAGTTTACTACAGAATGAATGGTGTATCGGTCCAGGAGAAAATAAGCTAATCCGTCAATACATTCGATTGAGGCGGTTACCTACACCCAAACTAGGACTTAAGAAAAAGCTTTGAAAGTGACTTTGACATCAGGTCCAAGAATAAAAATAGATTTCGTAAATGAAGTTTACATTTTCGAAAAGCTGCTTCGGCTCCGAACGTTTTTAGAGCAACCTTGGTACAGTAAAACAATAGGTGCGAATCTCACGGCGTCAGCAGTAGCCTGTTTTCGCTCACCCGCCCTGCTGTATGCAGCAAGTAAGGCGACCCGGCTGATGGCACCACGCGACGGCCGATGTGGCATGAGAATATTGTTAGTTGTGTAGGTCATGGTTGTCCGAAACTTCGTATGTGTAGATCGATCAAGAGTGTCCCATCATAATTTCTCCCATGAGGGCACCGTATATGAACTCCTGTGAACGGGTACGAGTATACGGCAAGCTGTCGCCTAAGTCCACCACAACCAATGGTGCAAGACGAGGCTACCCTATCTCGACTCTCCTATTCAACTTTGTTATTCTTATACTGATTAAAGTGCCTGTGCCTCTGTTTAAAACCTTGGCGGTCGAAAGTCTCCCAGGGCGTTCGCTCGCAGTCATTGAGTATGCGGACAATATTGCCTTGGTTCAGGCAGTCATTGAGTATGCGGACAATATTGCTCTCCTTGGTTCAGACCTTTCTAAAATGCGAACCATTTTACACATCCTAAATAATTCTACCGAACGGTTTGACCTGTGCTTCACACCTGCAATGTGTAAAGTGCCGTTACAAGACTGGGTTAGACGAAATCCCAACCTGATGCTTGTAGACGAGCCAATCGACGTGGTAGATGGATTTGTTCACCTGGGTAGCTGCATAAGTTCCGGTGGATTGGCTGGAGATGAGACCACTTCTCGAGTATGAATGGCTAGAGCAGCTTTTGCCAAACTCGGACACCTGTGGGACCGATGTGGCATGGGTTTGTCTGTCAAGGGGAGAAGTTACACTGTGGTAGTGCAATCCGTACTGCTTTGTAGATCAAAGACATGGCCTCTACTCGGAGAGGACACAGGAAAGATGTCAGTGTTTGACCACCGGTCTCTCCGATGCATTGGTCGGGTCTGGTGGAAACATCGGATTGGAACTGTTGAGGTACTCCAGATAGTGTTAAGGAGAAGGAACTCTCCCGCGATGGATGAATTACTTATGCTTCGTAGTTTAGGCTGCCTATGACGAATAGTCCACATGGTAGAAGACGGTCTACCTCTCGGAGCTCTTTTCGCGCATCCGTGTGCTGATTGGAAGCGACCAAGTGGTGGACAGTGTATGTATGACCTGGCAACGAAATATGAAAACACCAATGAGTACAGTTAGTCGGGTCGACAAGTACCGCCTCTCTAGATGGAAACCCTGAGACTGAACTCAACAACGGTTAATGACACTGGTAAATTGGCCCAATGGCGCAGTCAGTGGCCCTTGTGCATCGCCTTCAGTGCGCAGCTACACAGTTCTCGAATTAACTGGGTATGCCATCGCCTCCCGTGCTTGGCTGTCTGTCCCACAATCTCCCTTTTTCTGGTGCACGAAAGTGTAGCAACTGGATCTAATGTGCATGTGGCACCCATTTTACAGCTTATAAATTGTTGCTTGATCGAGGTAGTCAACTAACTGTTCTTCTTTTGACGTTCACTTTTTTCATGACGTTTGCTGGCTCGTGGTTTAGCATCTCATTTAAAGTTTGTAGATAATCCATGGAGCCACGCAGCTACAAATATTTCGTGTTTTCAGCCTCCGAGTAGAACCTTATTCGTAGTTTCGGTTTGAAATTAGTAAATCGCGGGTAACTTTTCGAGAGATGGCCTCATGACAAGAACAAACGCTCCGCTAGTTATGGCAACAATATACCAAATTTATTGTACCATCAGCTTTTATTCGTTACAGGCGAGTTCCTGTTTCAGGTATTCCGTCCGCGAATGCAAAGCTTCATTAGAAAGTTAAACAAAGGTAACTGACAAATGTAGGCCCTATGTCGTGCATTTCCCATTATTTTAATTTGTCCATCGGAATCGATTATGTGAAATGAAATGCCATTAAGTTCCTCACCCCTGGATTTAAAGTTAATTCGCAGTTAGCTTCTAGAAATTTTCTTATTGATATGCTACCCAGTTTATAATTAGTGTCTATGTCCCATCGGTAACCTCCATTCTTAATGAGCCGAGTGCCACCAGTTGTATTTTTACCTCCAGAAGGTTGTTCTAGAGGATATCTGAGTGTTACATTCGGTCTGCACCACCTGTTTAAGAAAATCTTATTTGATCACTATTGTTACTGTTGAACCTGTATGCTCAGGCGTTACGGGCGTGACTCATTGTAGTTAAGTGAGCAACGTCTGAACTGCGGACCGGAAGGTCTTTAGTTTGCTTCCGGATTTTTGATTGATCTCATTTCGAATTGGACAGCCTTCGTGCTCTCCTGATTTCGCGTGTTATGCGTACGCGTGAAGGGTGCCACACTTGAACCATTTATTTTTTCTCCATTGAAATGCGTATCCCAGCCCGTCTCAAATTTCGGACAAAAGCTCCTCCAACAGGTATCCAACTTTTCTTTCCTCGTGCCTATTCATTAGTTGCTGATTTTGTCTTGCTTTTAGCGGACACATTCGAGAGAAGCGCTAGTGTGCAATTGGAATCGGTGGGCAGCACCGAAGATGATCAGTTTTTCGACGCTGTTTCGGTTATCCAGTACCAATCGAATGAAGCTCTTTCGGCATCCGACCTAAATCAGTCCACGCAAGTTCGGCTACCACTTCCAAGGACCGAAGGGGTGCGCGCTTCCGCGACCAGTCTCATTAGTCTAGAAAGCGTCGATGAGTCTTCTGGTTCCGATAGTTGTGCGGAAGGGTCGACAGAATCGGAGCTACGACTACGTCGTCCACCGCCAGCCACCTCGGTGAGTGCAGTGGAATCTTGGTGTGGGTTACCAGACTTACAGTATTGTTGTTTCGAGAATAACTCAACGATAATTTCGAGTTCATTTCACATGACTCTAGATGTATCAAACTCAACTTAAATCTTCGTTTGGTATCTGCTGTGAAGCACTGTACAGCTGTTTCATCTTTGTTGGAAAGTATCATCAGTGTGCATCCCACCAAACTCACTTTCAAACCTGTGACCTTCAATTCTGTGGTTGAAATGTTGACCTTTTGGTCATAAGCGGTTGATTAACAGTATAATTAGTTCTCATTTGCATATCTTCTACCTGTCGAATCTTGGAATAAGTTTCCTAACTAATCGCTGAATAAATATATACGCACAAGTCCGGTGAACTATCAAGGCGTTCTGTGGAATGCAAAAAAGAAGCCTAATACACACCATCTATATCACCTGAAAGTGGGACGTGTGTAATTCGTGATTAGTGAAATATATAAGTTTACCATAATCAAAGTGCGGATATATCTATAACTGCCTTTGGCGTTACTTTGTGAATTCAATTTGATCGTCTAGACGGTATGGTTGTCTCCGTGCACTCCTCACCACGAATCCCCAGAAACTCTTGATGACGTCCACCTGTGGGCTGTGAGCCAATTGATTCAATAATTAAATTCCGAAACTACACTTCTTGTATCCCATAACAAATGAATACCCGTTGGAATCACCAGCTGCTGCTCAAAAGCGGTAGCTATTCAGTCGCACCACATATGATACTGCCATGTACTTTCCGTCCAGGATCTCAATGGCTCTTTGTCTCTTTAAAAATAGCTACCGAATGCATTACGAACTCGCCGTGCTGAATTTAGCCGCTCAAAACGCTTCCTCCATGGGGTCATGATGGTAGTACGTAAGGTCATCTGGTCCTAAATTTTCCTCTTCTTTCGCAAGTATTCTTTAACTCAAACTCTGCTCATCGACAGGACCTGGAAACTTGAATTCATTTTTTCAACCAAATCTATCCTTGTAAATCCATCTTTGGAACATAGTACACTCAAATTGTTTTGGCTGAAAAAGCGTTTCGCATAATCAGGTTGTTAGACATCCTTACCGGTTTGTGTATCTAATTCAATCACCATGTGTATGTATTCAGCAACCACTTGGTTTGGGTTGTGAGGATCTACTTGAAAGGGAGCAAGCAGATGTGCAAAATTATTTATGGAATTACAGTTATGCACTCTTATCAGAAGAGACTGGTACCGTCACGAAGAGACTCGACCTTACCGTGGTGTGGCGGTTTGTGTACCTCGGCGACCCATTGAGCTATACTGGAGAGTGTCCCGCGACACTCACAGAGTCTCTCATACCAGGTTGGTCCATGGGTAGAGGTCCGACGAACACAGTCTCCTGGTCCTCCAGGTTGGGGGTTGGAACATGTGGCGACTTGTTCCGTAGAAATGGTAATGCATTTGCATTTCCCGCCAAACACCGCTGCCTTGCGGTTAGGCTTTGAGCCAAAGGCTTTGGTTGAGGACCTTAATCGTCCTCCTGTCTAGGTGTGGGCGCCCTGGCAGTATCCCAGCCCTCGTAAAACCATGACATACACAACATATACGGCAGTGAAGGATAAGTGCCAACACTGGTGTTGCTATCTTTGATGATGATGATGATGACTCTTATGAGGTGTATTGACTTGACTATACCGACCGATTAAACATAGCCGTTTTGGTATTACTTTCACGAGAGGATCAAACACTGCAAGAGCTAATTGTGCGACCACACGCGGTAGCCGAAGCAAAGCTAGTAAAGTAAGTAAGTAAGTACCGTTTCGGAAAAAATTGGAAGACAATCGATAGAAGTGAGAGGCCAGTCAGTCAATTAATAAGTGAATAATAAGTAAATTAGCCTATCCGCATATACGATCTCTACCGTCGCATCCACAGAAATTCAATAAAATTCGGAAACTTGTTGCAAAATAATTGCATAATCACATACCCCAGAGCTCCGTCGTCTTCGTTTCCCGATTCAGATTCATAGGTGAATGGATCCGCACTAAGATCTCCGTGTATGATTATGCACTTCCTAGCATATGTGCAGAAAAACGTTCCATTCCTAAGTGTATCCGTGATTATTTTTATTCAACACCACACAGCCAACCTTTGCAAATTTCTCACAGAATTCCTGTTCGAATCATGTAATGGTCGATTCGGGGCGAGATGGCTCGGTGGTTAGAGGGCGAATTTAGTGACCGGAAGGTCCATTGTTCGAACCCGACCTCTGCCTCTCGACTTCCCCTGACTGAGCAGTATCCCAGCCCTCGTGCCTTCTTCTGGTGGCTTGGCAGTCAGGCACCAAAAGGATGGTACAGCTAAACGACTGGTCTATTCAGAACAATAATATTTTTATACATGGACTAGGATACTTGTACATATCTGTGTTAGTTCCTCCTAAAGAAGATATTTTTCGTATCTTTATTCACTCTCTGTGCAGTTTCCCGCACAATGCATGGCCAGGATTCGTCTTCCGTAGAAACTTCTCCTCAATAGTCCGTCTTGGGTGGAATACATAAAAGTAATGTGCGCCGGTTCATTCGTAACCTTCAGTTTGGTTACGTATTCCCTGATTTTATTAGGTAGTGATCGGCGCGTTGAAAGTTGGTCCACAAACGAACAATGTTCTACACACCCAAATTGCGCAACGAAGTCCTCTGCTTATTGAAACTACTGACCCTGTATAAGTGAATAGTTATTTCTTATCCTATCTCACCTTACTACGGCCCTAATCAACTTGTATAAAAATGTGAACATGTAAGGTACGTGGTGATGTTTCTGACAGAAGTTTTAGAGTTGTGGCTTCCTGTTTATCTAAACCGGATCGCGAAAAGTCGTCTTGGAATGTCATCTACTTCACTGGTGCACAGCTTGGATAAATTACACTGTCGTCCTGACACAGCGTTCAAGGTTGTGGTCAGATGCATAAGGTCTATGTACGCTTTAACTTTCTTTACTAACCCAGCAATCAGGCGCAGGTCATATGGCTTGTAGCTCTGTCGGAAACCGTTGTATTTAGTGTTTCCGCGCTGAACGCAGCAATTTACGTGATATTGTTCTTCTACAGTGTATTGTGTCGTCGCACCTTGCTCTTGAATGTATCTCATTTCGGTTTAATCGAAGTACATCACCTAAATAATCTAACCTCGAGTTCGAACGAAGTTTGTGTTGCTCGGATGCCAGTGGGGATAATCAACACACACTAGAATTCTTTGCTTACACCGTCACTTAGTGGTCATGTGTTCCTGCTTCACATCTTATGGAATATCAGTCCACGTTTTTGGCAACAGGAGCCACGTGATCGGTGGAAACAGTTTATGCGACTCACCTCGTCACACCAACCTAGGTGATTGAAAAACTCACGGGGTTTATCCCAACTCCTGCTTTGACATGTGCACTAGCTCAATACGCTGTTTTAATCATCCCTGCAGTCTTATGGCATGAAGGTGAGTAGGAATAGAGTCAATATTAGTCCTTTATGTTAGTAGATAAGCCGTGTAGCATGTCTTTTTCGTTTTCCACATAGCTTGAGTAGTGTAGGTCCTGTCGTCGTAAACCAAAGTTCCAGTGTGGTCGTTAAAAACTGCTTGTGGGAAGGTATTGTTTTCTTGAATCTATTCTTCTCTGAATTGGATCTCACTAGCAGCATAATATTTGCACTTGTTCCTATGTTCACATTCCATACATAGTTAACATGAGTCTGAACAAACTGTGGTTTGCCTCTCCTAGGTGGTCGGTCTCGAAGGTGAAAAAAATAAAACGACAATGATTCAGTTGTAGCACGTTTTCGGTACCTAGATACCACGCTACCTGAAGGAAGAACGAGGGCTGTGGTACTGCCTTGTTTCCTGCGCAGGAGCAGTCGATATATTGGGATGTTTTCGAACCATTTACCTTCCGGTCAGTGAGTTCGATTCTTAACCACTAAGCTATCCCGAACGTGGTGGTGATTTTTCGAACACTATGTAATCAACAATAACTCGATGTGGTGTGTCTGTCCAACTGACATCTTTCTTGATTGCTCTTCGTCCGTACCGCTTTAATCTATTAATAGTCGGATTTCATCTGTTAATTGAAGTCCTTGAAACCAACCGACTGTGTTTGATTTGTTCAGGTTTAAGGTCATCTCCTTTGCGAAGTTTGAACTTGTGACTAACCGATTAATATCAGGCACTGCCTAATACTGAGGCAAATGAGTTCAACTTGGATGTGAACTTTTTTGGGCACCCATTGGTTTTGTCATCGTACATTCGCATTCCTCGCACGTATACAGCTTCTTCTAGGAACTGAACTTCCTTTGGTTGGTTTTACCAAACAGGAGCGCCATCGAGGAACCTATACGGAGGCTACACGACCCAGCGTGCCGCCTGTGAGCCTGACAATAAGAAAAAGACGTACCACTATCCCACCATCTCCTAAAATCGCCCTCAATCTGTGGAGTATAATCAAAAATGGCATTGGCAAGGACATTACGAAGATCCCACTTCCGGTATGTTGATATTTCCACTTATTATTTTGCTCATATTTATGGGTTCGTTGCGTTATCGAAGAGGTGGGACCATGTGTGAAATGTATGCACACTACACTACGCCACGTACTCCTGGATAAGGCAGAAGTCAGTTACAGAAAAGTGGCAATTAAGAGAATGTCCATCGCAGCGGGAATCTTCTGAAACACATCGTCATTAACAGCCGTAGATCAGTAGTATCTACTGGCGCTAAACTGTCATGGGAGAAATTAAAGACTGTTCAGCCTTTCGGTGCCTAATTGTCATGCCACTAGAAGGAAGCACGGGGGTTGGGATACTGCCAAGATGCCAAAGTCTAGATAGTGGAAGTCGAGAGACAGAGGTCAGGTTCGAACCATGGACCTCCCGATCAGTAAATTCGCGTTCTTATCACTGAACCATATCGTCCCATGAGAGTAAGCAGTACAAATAAAAAGGGAACGTAGGTAATTGATGCAAAGCAATCCTATGTCCTCAGGAGAAATGATCGGGAAATTTATGCCTATGGTTTTTAACAGCATTGAAATGAGCAAGTCTGAGCGTCATGTCAATCGGGTTAAAAGGGGATGTCTTGTGAACTACCCGGCTAGGTTCGTGCGCTATGTTCTTCGGCGCTTTCAGTCATTTGCAAAAAGGACCTTGTGGGCCGTAGCCCGGAACGTGTGGAGGCCTCATGCTACTCAATTTTCATTGTTGTCGCTTTCAGTTCACGCTGTCATCTCCCAGCCTGTCTAGCGCGATCTCCCAGTCAACAGTGGTCTGAAACGCAAAACACTCCTTTCTTCGGTAGACATTTCTTGAGTTTGTACTGCTCCAATGACTGTGATTCTTTACGAAATACACTTCGCTACGTACACGGTGCAACTCTGAAACTCCCTGCTGTGCTACGGAGGCCCAAACTTTTGAAGGTATTTAAGGTTCGCAGGCCGGAGGGAGCAAGTTTCCCTGAACATAACGTAAGATCGCTGTTGGATTTGGCATGTATATACGACCCTTTAACGTCAGCTAATTTTGCTTTTGGTTGTATGTCTGATAACCTGGCTAACGTTGCTCGCGCCCCAAGTGTGCGTGCATTGGCTTCATTTGTTGTATGACAGTCACAGCTTCGGTAGATGTCATGGTATGTGAACAGGTCTGCAGACCCAAACTTTTCGGTGTGCAATTTCGGAGAACGATAGGAAATCCTGGTGTCGGACATCGCACCAAGGGTTCGAAATTCGCTCAGCATTTGCATGCACAATTGTTATACGACTAGACCAGCTTCGTTTCATTCGGCGTCGGCTCCAAGATCCACCAGTTGCCACCCTGATATGCGGTGTAAGTCAGAGGCGCGCGAGTCGGGTTGCAGGAGGGCACTATGACAAATAGATATCTAGAAGAGTTGAGTGATAACGGCCATAGCTGGCTACTTGTGGTGCCCAAATCAAATGCTGTTGCATCGAAGATATTACGTTATTTGATAATCTGATTTCACTCCTTGCCAAGAGTTACAGAGGCCGTTCACCTGTGGTATGTATATGTGGACTATACATCCCTTCCCTGAAGGCCTCCTACGACGTCGACACGGCGAACAAGTTTTACTGTTAAATTGCGAGTCTTCAAGCATACCCTCAGTCTATCGCTCCAACCCAGGTTACTGCACTTCTGGCCATGACGCCCGATTACCTATGAAGTGTTGAGGAGTAACACTGCGAAGCAAAGTCTGTGCACCCATATTATCAAACAGCGTTAACTGAACTCGTATTTCTAGATGGCTTGGCTGTCCTTGCTATTGATTTTACTCTATAGAGTTTGGTTGCTCCTAAGTGAACGCATGGTCTTGAACGTTGCCTTTCCAACGTTTGTGCTGCCAGATTGTGTTTTGTGAACTTGTCCACGTGAACCTGCATGGCCATTCAATTACCACCACCAGTCAACATGCTGGTTCGTTACATCTCAATCCACTCATTCCACAACCGTTCAAACACACACAAAATACCCAGAAGTACAGTTTTCATCCTCAATAGGGCAAGCATTTCAGGGCATTCATTGCGGTTTAACCGAGTTTAATTCATGGAGACGGTCTTATATACTCAGGTTCGAACGATGATCTACTAAAAGAGTTTTGGTGATAGTAGCACAGGGAAGTCTTATCGTATCACCGTATGCAGATGGAGTAGGTCCTCGTTTAGATCACAACATTCATCGTCTTCTACGTGCTGATAGACTTTGCTTTACAGATATCAGTGCATGTCTTAGTACACCGAGCATTTTTATCACGAGCGTCATGTAGCCATAACTTCCATGAGGGTTCCGTGTAGTTCGGAGACAGGCCTTTCGATAGCGTCGCAGACAGTCGACAAATTGTTGCAAGTCGGATTCCCGATTTGAAGTAAAACCTGGGACGGTGAAAATGAAATCCCATACGTTTTTTAGGTTTATAAATGCCACCGAGCTCGTGGCTCGAATTAACTCCCACCCACATTCTTCGAAGATGGGGTTGAACTGCTGTCAACCCTTGTCTGATCTGTTTGTCCCCATCTAGAAAGAGAAAACTGTCCCAGACAATGTGAAGAACCAGTAACAGTGCCCTTTTCAAAGAAGGAGCTCGCAGTGAGTTCAGCAACCACATTAGGATTAGCTTGGCTCCATTTGTAACGGAATTGTTCAGGTCACTTGTTCTTTGTCACTGTGGCAGCCCGTGAGGCATTGTCTCGAGCGTGTTATGCATGATTCCGGTCTGGTAGGTGTTTTGTATATCGAATCTTCGCACTCTGTCAGGTACTGGAACCACGCCATACGTATAAGCGACCCACAAATTTAACGTCCCCGGATTTCCAACGTGAATTGCACTCATTTGACGTGTCTGTTATCCTTAAGTCGCTTGGTTTGCAAGGAACGCCCATCGAAGTTTGTCAATATGATGTCTCTGTATTCTCAACCTTCTGGGCGTGTGGGCGTCCAAAAGTTCCCATACACAACGTGATCTCCGGCAGGAATACCCCTTCTATCCCTGTTCTATTTCTTGACCGACAAGATAGTGAGGGGAACGCTGGAAAGGCCTCAAACCCTTGTTCGACCAGCCGCGTACGAAAACCTTATCGATCCAAATTACGCAGACATCATTCTTTCCCTTTAAGAGGAAAAGAAGGCGCAGGTGTTTTTGGATCAACTGACCAAAGTCACTTGCCATGACCTTTGCACCCACAAGGTGTAACGTCATGCTTCTGAACACACGGTCACTGAACACGCCACTTGCAATGCAAAGGGGCGCTCAGGGTTGTGGAACGTTTCACGTGTCGTGGATGTTGTTAGAGTTTCGACAGGAGAAGTTAATACACGGACCTGTAAGACTCGTGTTGTGTTTGCTGATTTGAGACACCCATGTGATGATGATGTTGATTCATCCTTCCTAACCCGTTTCCGGATTGCATGCTGAGCCTAGATGCGATACTGCTGCTACAACCATTTGGGAAAGTTTGTTCATTTTCCAAAACAAACACTCGTTAGCCGGCAAGATGGGTCTAGTGGTTAGAGCGCGCATTCACTGTCCGGAAGGTCCGTGGTTCGAACCCGACCTTTAGCTCTCGACTTCCCCTGTCTAGGCTTTGGCAACTTGGCAGGATCCCAGCCCTCGTGCAACCTTCGTGTGGCATGGCAGTTAGGCACCGAAAGGGTGCTACAGCTGAACGATTTTTTCACTCGTTAGCCGTTGCTTGTAACTTTTATTTCATCCGGCTTGACATCCACTTTTGTTTTACTAATTAGTTGTTTATCCATTATATCAAATAACGAGTTCATTACAGCACTACGACATGCTCCTAAGAAAGATTCACAGACAGTTCCAAGTATTTAAGTCCAAATGTGCGCTTATCCGGTCAAAGACAATAATGGTGCACAAAAAATCGCCGGTCTCATTTCGGTGCTGACATATATAAGATTTGTGGAGTTTATGTGTTCTCTTATGATGAATCTCCTGAATGATTGCGAAGTGTGTGACCTAGTCTCCGATTATGGGCCTTTTTCTCGCTTCTTGCTTGTAACCATGAAGCGCTAGTCTTTGACATTGAAATGGATTGAAGTAGTTTTCTTTTCTTTCTCGTGCTGTGGACCATTAACTGAATGCAGTCATGGGGGATATTCAGAACTAGCCACATTGCTCCTGTGCGTTATCCTTAAACTACTCAGTAAATTTCCCTTATGGATTTAAGTAGTGTCAGTTTTGGAATGAGAAATTTATGTTGAAAAAGCCACATGGTTTGGGAATGTGGGGCGTTCTCATTCAGTCCCCACCGGTATGTTTTGCCCAACGGCGTAAACCGTGACTGGTTTCGTTTCGTAAATGGAAACTTGTGTTTTTTTTCGTTATTCAAATAATAGACAAGCCATCATGTCATACCAACATAAGAGATGTGGAAGGTACCAGTACAGCCTTAGTTTGACAAGATATGTTAGAAATCGAGACCAGGTACTCCTCAGTGTACTCCGGAAAAAAACACTCTACCGAATCATATGTTTCTTTCCGCTGAGAAAACTTCACCTGGGATACCAATCGAGACCAGGTCTCACGGTGCAAAATCTCTACTGCTCACTGATCGGACCTTTGGATACAGGAATCTTGTATTGGCTCGACTGGTTATTTTTAGGAACAGTGCCGATCAACTTCCGACAGCCGAAAGATAACGCTCAGCTCCCATTCAAAAAGTCGTGGGTCCGAACCTCATTCGGGACTTATAAGATATGAACTAATGTTCTCCAGGAAGAGTGAAATAACTTTGTATTCCTCGATTATTCAGCATAGGTTACCTTGGCCTACAGGATAAACTATTCAACAAGCGCATTCACTAAACCATTTTTACTATATGATATTCAGACTTTTACGAGGCACTGGATATGGTTCATTTACAAGCACAGGGAATGTCAGAAGTAAGTTCTTGGTGTGCTGTGTAATCAAAGCGATACAGTTCTCTTTCCGTACTTGTGATACGGCATTGTGAAACGAA